GTACTCATGACCCTCTCCACTGTTAGCAGCTAACCCAAAAATGATGGAAACCGATGGGTCAGACCTGGTTGGTTACACTGGTGTCCCTGGCCAGGAAGAGCCTGGAAAATTGTGCAATCCACACAGTCTGGCAGGAGCATCTCCCTTAGCCCAGTTGCCAGCGGGGCGATGGGGCTGACTCACATGCCCTGCACCCAGGCGGCCACCCAGATTAGTTTATAGAAGCAGCTGAGATTACTTGTATCCCAGTGAGTGGCCTCCTTCTCTGCTTGCACAATACCCCTTTGGAACCAAGGGCATCTCTCATTGTGTGGCTGCAGATAAGCCGCAGAGCCTCACCCTTCGCTACAGCAGCCCCCAAGCCCACGGCGGCTGCCTCACCTGCCACGTATCTCTGGAGGCATCACAGGATTTGGTTGCAAGCGTTGCCATGATTACGCACCCGCCCTGGTCCCAGGTTCACCTCCCCACCCTTCATCTCGTGGCACTGGGCGGTCACATGTTGCTGGCTGGGCGGTCACACGCTACCGTTCCACGGGTGCTTGGACACGCCAATGGGAGCACAGCTGCTGGAAACCACATGGAGACAAGGAGCACAGAGGATGCTGGCTTCCCCGCTCCACACTGCGCTGCCGGCGGCTGATGCCCCCTGCATAGGGAGCTGAGCAAAGCCTGGAGGGGATAACTGCTGGGCCTCGGGGGGTCCTCATCTCCCCATGCCAAGAGAAAAGCTACTCCTCTGTAGCTCAAATGGGCCGTGTGCTTGAGTGCATTGCCCTCACTACACATCCCCATCTACTAGGTGGCCATACTGGGGTACCTCCCAGGTGCTGGACACCCCCAAAAGCTGCTCTTGGGCATGCAGACCCCTCCAGGTGCCTCGGGACTGTGTTTCAGCAGGCTGCTTGGCGCAGTGCAGGGCTGCATTGGCAGGCAGCACCTCCTCTGGGACTATTTATTTTACAAGCCACTGAATTCGTCCTCCAGGGAAAAGGAGGCATGCAGTTACTGATGGTGCTCTCTGCTCTGCTTTTGGGGCAACACACACCCGGGGATGGGCAGAGCAGCCCCGGCGGTGGCTGCTGAGCGTGAGAGCAGTGGCAGGGATGCGGGTGGCATTTTGGGGTCCCTGGGTGCTCTCCGAGAACTCGTTCACCTCCAGACCTGACCTTTGCTGTCAGTAAAACTTGCACAAACTTGTAATTGTTAACTTGTTCTCCTGTAGCGGGCTTGTTACTTTTTTTCAGGACAGGGTTCGAAAATGCTAGACATCTACAGTAGTAAAGATTTTATTGTGCTGGCAACGGACTGTAAAACTTGATTACATGACACTGGGGATTGCCTAAACTTTGTTCCCACTGATGCAACTGCTCGGGGTCGGGGGGACGTGAGTGAGGGAGGTGGCTTCGAGTCACGTCCAGAGGTGGTTTAGCATGAAGGGCAGGAGCCAGGAGTAGCCCACCCTTCGGCTCACTGAGCCCAATGTGGAGCTGAGAAGCTGGGGGGGTCACAGGAGGCACGTGTAGCGGAAATGATGGATAAGTGTTTGGCCCGTCACTGATAATCACACGAAAATCATAGGGAAGCCCAACCTAGAAGAAGTAAGCTGAGATTTTTCTATAGAAAAATCTTTTCTGTCAAGAAATGGCCTCCCTTCTTGGCCCCTGCTCTCAGTTCGCTGCTGACATGGAACTTTTCGATCTCAGACAAAACTTTCCGCAGTTTATATCCATTTTATATCTGTTTATATCACCGCTAGCATTTTTCATATTTCAAAGGACCATTTATGGTAAGAAAATACGATTTCCAATAAATAATCAAAGTGATCATATTTTGGAGGGGGGAAAAAAGTCATAGTAGGAAACTTGCAAAAAACTCTGGCCCGTGCTGAACTTTGAGCCAGCATGATATCTTTTTTCCTTTCAATAAAACTTCTGGCTTATTTCTGCACCCAAACTACAGTGAGCCAAGAGGGATTCCTGAATGCTCGGGTACAGTCAGCCTTTCCCCTGCTGGTGCATGCCGCAGAAATACCACAGGTTTTTTGAAGCTACCTCCAGGATTTGGTTAGCCAAGAGTAAGAGAGGCAACAGACTCATAACATGGCACTTCCAACACAAAATAAAATAGCTTTTTTTGCTACATCAGTGGGGTAAGCACTGGCGAAGGGGGAAACCCAGCAGGGAAGCTACCCAGAAGGGAGAAGATAGTGGATAGAGGAGCCTCCTTACAAAGTCCCACTGTCAATAAAACATGAGTTCAGGTGAGCTCAGGTAACAAAAGTGCAAGAAGGAAAACCCTAAATGGCAAATCTCAGCGTGTGATTAACCTGGGGAACACCCTGCTCCAGGGCCTTTCCAAGGCGACCACTGGCCTGAGGTCCACTCGACCTCACAGTGTGGTAACTGCAGGAAAACGACTGCTAAGGGGATCCATAGGGTAATTCTGCAAGTTGTCCCCTTCGTGTGAGATACTGGGTGGGGGCTCCCTGCTCTGGAGGAAGCATGAGCAGCACAAGGATTCTGCTCCTGGCTTCGACAACCTACTTCAAATGGGGTAAAATGCCAGGTTTTGTCCTGCGTAGCTGCTAATTCCCCATCTTCTCCTGGTAGAAAGAAGGTCTGAGTAAGTAAATTCCCTGTACTCATATCTTGCTGAAACCTGAGACCCTCCTCATGGGTATACCTCTAGGTCATTCAAGTACATCCAATATCTTTTTTGAGGGGAAGGGAGATAGAGATAGTGTTACACATTGTGCAGAAATGCTATTAACTGTAGTTGAGCATCACAACTTGGATTTATTAGCAGGAGGCTGAAAGACCTACATGGCAGGGGATGTAACTGATAACCTTGTCTCACATCCATTTGAGCAAATGAGTCTCCTCCCTGTACGCTCATCAGAGATTTAGCACTTCTCATGAGCCTTTTTGCAATCGCAGTCATTTAGCAAACATATGATACTTCACACTTCAAGCCATGACAGGGGCACATGGGACTTCCTACCTCCTAGATGCTGATGGACAAATTGCTTTGGCTACTCAAGAAATCAAGGGTCTGGTTTGAGTCTCAAGGTATTGTGCTGATTTTGGTGAACTTCCTTCTGTTTTATACTGCATATGGAGAATCAAATCTTATTCTAAATTAAACAAGCATCACAGTTCAAGAGTCCTTTTCATTGGTGCTAAGCACTTGTAGTCTCAAAATTTAGAGCAATATGAAGTTTGAAGATCATCTCATCCCCAGCATTTAAAATAGGCCTTTTCAGGCAGGAAAGAAAAAAATATACACTTTAAGCAGAAAAAGGTACAGGCATGCTATTGGTGGCAGAAAAGTTGAGCACCAGAGGTATCAAAAAAATGGGGTAATGTTGCAAAAGAGAGAGAGCGCTAGATCTGTTGCCAAAATCAGACCCATGAAAGCCAGCGGACCACTCCTGGCCCATCATCTCTTATTAAAAGTGAACTTACCAGCCAGAACAGGGATAATGAGCTATCTCCTGGTTTTCACTGGGATTTACCAGAAATGTTTCTTGGTGTCAAAGACACAATTTTGGGCAGAGCCCCAGAGAGATGAACTGAGGTGCTCAGAGCTCTCACCTGCAAATGGCAGAGACAGAATCTCTGCTCTGCTTAATCCCAAATAGGAATTTGAAGGGGCACCGGGCAGATGAAGAAGGGGACCTGCCTTTTCAGTGGGAGAAGGGGGAAAGGTTGATTTTTGCACATACAAAATTTCAAATGCTCTAACTCTGGCCCTGCGCTGAGCTAGAGCGACGACCCAAGGTCTTCTGCAAAATGCAGGTGTTATTCCTCCCCCAGCCCAAACTGTGGACACGTGCCTCTCGCTGTGCACCGCATGGCCAGCGAGCAGGGCCGCAGATAGCCTCAGCACAATAATGTGTTTTCCTCCCTCTAACACCTGACAGTAGCATGGTCTCACCGACAACTTGGTCCCATCTCTGCATACTTTCCAAGGTGATATTAATCAAACAGATTAACATGTTTGCCTTTAATTTACATTTCAGAAACAGCTGTTGAGCCACCTCAATGCCAGCAGTGCCTATTGCCAGCATTAGTGTCATTACTAATCATTGCAGCTGTAATAGCACCATTATCTCCTGCTAAAAGGGTCACTGATGGCTCAGGACAGAGCTTCAAGGAAGCAAAAACAGGTCGGATGAAATGAGATGGAAACTGCAAACTGTTGCTGCTCTCTTAACTTGCATAAAGTCCTGTTGATGCTATGTAGAGGGAAATTAATGTGCACAAGCAGCAAAAATTTTGGCCAGAGTGTCATCGAGGAGGTGGGGCTCACGCTATCTCTTGTGTCACTTGGGCTAATGTAAAGCATATAAATATGGGAAAGAGAGAATGGGGATATTACTACCAGCCAAACAGTCTTCATCTCTCTGAGCGAACTTCTCTCCATCTCTTGCTGCCACTTCTTTGGGTAAGTCTGATTTTAGCTTCTACCTGTTTCGCAGAGTTGTTTTCTTAAATTGATGTAGCTGGTGGTGACAAGTGCTGGCTTGCTAGTCCAAGAAAATGAGGTCTCCTCAGGTCTTTGAGCACATTGTGCTGATTTTGGGCCATCATCATAATTAACAGCCCCTCTGACTTGGCAGAGGGATTTTTTCCTCTGAAGGTGTCTGCTGATCTCAACTCTCCTGTGCAAGTATGCTACAGGGCTCAGTGGGATGGCTCTTCCAGTCGTTTGGCCTTTTGGGGGAAGACAACAGGGAGGCCAGGACTGATGTGAGCATGAGGGTGGAGGTGGACTTCTGGTTATAATCATTAGTCGTTTACTGCAACTGCCTGGTGCAGAAAGCTCTCCTTCCCTCTCAAGCTAGGTCATCTTTAGAAGGTCCATCTGCTACTTTGGTCTCATTTTCATGCCACAGGAGCTGAAGGACATAAAATATTTGATGGCAACCTGTTTCTCCCTCCTAGACCTCCCTGTGTCTCCTCTGCCTCTTAACTCTAGGCCTCATCCTGGTCACCATGGCTCTCTGGATCCGATCGCTGCCTCTCCTGGCCCTTCTTGCTCTTTCCAGCCCCGGGACCAGCCACGCGGCTGCCAACCAGCACCTCTGTGGCTCCCACTTGGTGGAGGCTCTCTACCTGGTGTGTGGAGAGCGAGGTTTCTTCTACTCCCCCAAAGCCCGACGGGACATTGAGCAGCCTCTAGGTAAGTCAGGCTGACCTTGAATGCAGTCATATGCTATGTGATGCAAAAGGCAACAGCCGCCTATCTTTAACGGTGACACCAGGAATGTCCTTGATGAGGAATGCCAGGAATACCTTTAACATACCAACAACATCACATTGCCAATGAAAAGCTCTTCAGGTTAAAGAGGTTGATGGGAGGGCAGGTAGGGAA